AATGAAAGTATTTCACAAGCTTCCACCTGTAAAGTATCATGACTATTTAATTCTATATATACATACAATACCAGTCAAAAATCTGGACACACCTTGTCATTGAATGTTTTTTCTTTATTTTTTACTACTTTGTAAATTGTATATACTAACTATAGACATCAAATATATGAAGCAAGAGCTATGAAACTACGTCGGAAAGAAATCAGATTAATAACTCTAAATATGTTTTAAATTATATTTAAAATATATATTATATATTTGTGAAAGTCACCACTCTTTGCTTTGCTGACAGCTCTGCAAACCCTTGTGAGCTTCATGATGTAGTCACCTGAAATGGTTTTCACTTCACAGGTGTGCCTTGTCAGGGTTCATCTGTGGAATTTCTTGCCCTCTTAATTTCAGCTGGGAGATCAGTTGTGTAGTGCAGAAGTCAGGTTGGTACACACCTGACAGCCCTATTTGACAACTCTTAGAATTCATATAATAACAAGAACCAATCAGCTAAGTATAGAGAAACGACAGTCCATCATTACTTTAAGAACTGAAGGTCGGTCAGTCTGGAAAATTGCTAAAACTTTGAATGTGTCCCCATTGCAGTTGCAAAAACTATCAAGGGCTACAACAAAACTGGCTCACACAAGGACCGCCCCAAAAAAGGAAGACCAAGGGCCACCTCTTCTGCTGAAGTTAAATTCATCCGAGTTACCAGTCTCAGAAATTGCAAAACATCTCTACATCAACTGTTCAGACGAGACTGTGTGAATGAGGCCTTTATGGTCAAATAGCTGCTAAGAAACCACTACTAAGGAAAAGTGTCCTGAAATGTCTTTGTGCGAGGCAGAAAAGGTGAATGGATAGTCTCTGGTTCCCACCATGAAGCATGGTGTGATAGTGTGGTGGTGATTTGCTGGTGACACTGTTGGGGATTTATTCAAAATTGAAGGCACACTGAACCAGCATGGCTTCCACTGCATCCTGCAGAAGTTTGCATTTAGTTGGATCATCAATTATTTTTCAGCAGGACAAAGACCCCAAACACACCTCCAGGCAGTGTAAGGCCTATTTGACCAAGAAGGAGAGAGATGGGGTGCTGCACCAGATGGCTTGGCCTCCACAGTCCCCTGACCTAAACCCAGTGGAGATGGTTTGGGATGAAATGGACCACAGAGTGAATATAATACTCTAAAACTATAAAACTAACTTTGGGTTATTTCACATGCTTTTATTTACTACATATTTCCATATGTGTTCATTCATAGTTTTGTACCTTCAGTGAGAAACGTAACGTAAAGAGTCATGAAAATAAAGTAAAACCATTAAATGAGAAGGTGTATCCAAAGAAAATTGTATATATAAATATATAAATTATATAAATATAATTAGATAGTTGGGTGAAAATTTACAATTTTCTTCACTTAAGCGACTTAAAAAATTAGGGAAACTGTTTATGTTTACACAGGGATTACAAAAAAAAGCTTCCAATAGACAATATGTGCTTACAGAACCTGTGCCTTCTGCTTTTTCATATCTATTCAGTTTTGATTGCAACTCTCCAAAAACATGTGCTTAACTGTTCAAGCTGTTGCTTATCCCCAAACTCTTTGGATGAAGAGGTGGGCCGCGTTCAGGCGCTGGATCACTGCCAGCCGAAGGAAACACAATGGACAAGAGGTCAACCAAGGTGCTGTAAAAAAGAAAAGAAAAAGAAAAGAAAAGTGCACTACCTACAATATCCTACAAAGGATATTGTATGAGAGGAAATGGGGGTTATAGTGTGTGCGTGTTTCCCCTGCAGTATGGGTGTTCAGTTTCTGCTTACACAGTATTTGCGTTAAAATAAAAGTAAAAAATGCAACAATGTAAAACAGTCTGTGACAAATCACGAAAAAATAAAAAATACTTAAAGTAGCAATAATAAAAGTACTGGTGATGGTGACTGTGTTTTATAGTGCACAACATTATTAAATTTCTAGCTAGGTTAGCTAGGTTTAATAAATCCCAAACTAAGGCCAGCAAACCTCAAAAGCTAAATCATATCTGATATGCTGAGACAGAAATAATAATTTAAAAAAAACAGCAAAGTACAAAAAAACAGAAATACATGCGAAAAATACAAAAAACACTTTCATTTTAAGGAGTCAAAGGACAAAATGGTTGGGAACCAACGATTCAGAGCAAAAACATATACTGAAATGTTAATTTTATAGTACTTTAAATTTGCAATTTAGTTTCTTTCTCTGCCGTGAGACGAGTGTGACAGTGGGTGTGGTGGAGTGTGGAAAACTCCACCACACCTTTTTGGGTGTGGTTACTTTTTATTATTGTTCGTTTTAATACAGGGAGGAGTATAAAATGTGAATCTTGCGACACACCCCTGCATTCATGTCCTAATTTGATTTGTAATTCATTCTCTAGGCAGACCTTAAATTGACTATCTATAGAATATACATAAATGGACAAACAGAGCACAAGTTAACATAGGAATACAAGCAGATTATTCATGGCTGCATTGTTGATCCCTTTTTAGAAACTGTTTCAGTGAAGTTTTATGTGCCACATGCTGATCGCCCAACATGAACTGGCAGACAGGTAGATCAATGCAGTCTATCTAGTTTACGTCTATGTGCGTTTGCTTTTACAAGCTTAGTCATCATTTTAACATGATTTCCAAGTATACTTTGAGAACTTTACCTGTGTACAGATTTAAAATCATGCTCCTTGTGCATGGCACTAGAGAGATAGGTTTGCTACTAATTATCACTTTAACTAAGCCCCATTCTCTGTAATAAACAGTCATTTGCAGCGTGCTCTTTCTGCAGGCTCATCAGAATCTCAGCTGCCAGGCAGGAGTGATGCAGATCAAGTTGAGCAGTCACCAGGTGGCAAGGTCTACATCCCCTATGAGTCTGCTGAACTCTGCATTGCTCAGGTAAAACAATGAGGATCATCACAGGACAGTCGTGCAGACCAGTGGAGTTTTATTTAAAGTAGAACCAGTTTTACACTAGTGGAGGTATCACGGATTAATGTGTTAGAGAGACAGCTCAGGTTGGATGATTCAGGGACAAAGTAAGAAGGGAGATAATTACTTTCTTTGAACTTGCAGATGGAAACAGATGACCTGCTTGGGCAACTCCAAAGTGAAATAGCAAAAAGAAGAAGAAAAACAAAAAAAATTAAGATCCTAATCTCAATCAGCCTGTGATGCATGTTAGCATGGTCAAAGCAGACAAAGTAGCTTATTCATCTTTCTCAGTGGATGATAAATATTTCTTCAGACCTTTTACTTAGTGCTTTGGCTGGTTGCAGGCATGCAGACACACAATGAAGACACTGTCAGACACTGTTGTTTTGCTCTCATTCACACTCACATGGCTGCCTTGATTGTGCCACTGTTGCCCTCGAAGGCATTTGATCAGGATCATGATACCAGGATGCATTTTTGTGTCTATCTGATATCTGTTAGTGACTGTGCGCTGTAAAAACAGATAGCCAAGGACATGGAAAGCATGAGTAAAAGGCATCTGGAAATGGTCCAGGAGCTGGAAGAGAACTTCCAGATGACAATGCGGGAGAACCAGGTGATGATGTGTGTGAGTGTCTGTGTGAGGGAGTCTACTAAAACAAAACAGTACTGACAAGGGTCCTCTCTCATCAGGATTGTACCGTGCAGAAGATCAGATCTCACTATCAGAACAAGTTAAACACTCTGCGAAAAATCCTGGACGTCTACCAGGAGAAGGTGGAGAAGAAAAAAGCAGACTGGGAGGCTAAAGCTGAGGTCGCAGTCCTTCTCCTATTTGCCATACATGAACACCTCTATTGTTTTAATCTTGCTCATTACTGCAAATTTGTTGTGGTACATTTCTACTTTTAATTTTCCAGTTCATATTCCTTGTAATCCACATCTGAAATATTGAGTGGCCGGATGCATATTTACATGCATTCGTGTTCCTGTTTCCTGCAGAGCCTGAAAGCTCAAAACGAGCTGTTGCTGAAGGAGCATAGAGCTGAGAGGAAGAGGAGCGTGGAAGAGGCCCTGCAGTGGCACAGAGAAAAGGTTGCATAGCAGTCTGGCAGACTTCATGGCCTCTTACGTCAATCATCGATCTTCTGAATGAGAGCACACTCTTGTGGCTATATTTGAGAAGAACATTGAGTCTATTTTAACAATATAATCACATAGATTTTCTTCTTTTCTTTCAATTAGAGCAAAATGCTGGAACTGTTCTCCAACAGGCTGGATGCCCTGCACAGTCAGCAGGCCTCCAGTGAGTTTATCTGCCATGATGTTAAAGTCTGTGAAACACCAAATGTTTGTGCCTAACAAATTATTCATACCATTTTGCCTTAAGCAGCATTGCAGGAGCTACAGATGGCCCGACAAGAAATAGGAAAAGTCCAAGAAATGTTGGTGGTCTCCACACAGGAGCAGCAGGAAACCACAGGGGAAGGTGAAAACCTGGAGATTGAAGGACTGTCAGCACAGCAACAGACAAGGGTGAGTTTGAATTTGTTGTTGTGACAACTTGTTTCTTAAATAAAGGATAAAGCATGAAAAGGACAATAAGAAGAAAAGTTTAGAGTGTTGCTTTTTCTGTTTTGATTTATGTTTGGTGGACTAACCCACTTTTTAAATGAAGGACTGCAGTGATTCTGATCAACCACTGGAGGGCGCTAAAGCTCGTCTAGAGGAACTAAAGGAGAGCCTGTACCAGAGGGAGAGGGAGATCACTGAACTGCTGGAGGCAGAGAGAAGCCCCATCCCTCCGGTGCCTCAGCCACCCTGTGGCGTTCTGCTTTCCCTCGTCATACACAAGGTGCTGCTCACACATTAGTTAATATTAAACTATGTGGAAAATCAACTGATAGCAACAAAATCAAAGAAAAAGCATCTCTTTTCCTCCCCGATTTATTTAGGCTGTTGCATCAATTTCTCTTTCTTTAGGCTCATGAAATCTGCAGTGCAGTGCCTGAAACCAGAGCCCTGTTAGACCAGATGATTGAGGACAATCGGGTTGCTCTGGCCGAAGCCAGACACAAACTGGACCGACTCAAGAATGTTCAAGAAGAAAGCAATGACAGAGAGGATGCCACTGACCAAGAGGGGTTAGAAATTGAAAAAACAAACAAACAAACAAAAAGAAAGAAAGGGGAAAAAAAGATTCTTAATGGTTCTCAATGGTTATAATAACTGCTTAATTTCAAAATATCAGGTTAAGTTAAGTTACACACTTTACTTTAAAGGTTTTCTTATATTTCACAGGTCAGAGAAATACAAGTCAAATCTGCCTCTATTGCAAGAAACAGTGAGGGAAATTGAGGTCTGTCAAATCGCTTTAGCTTGCATTAAAAATGGAGAGAGCCCTGTGATGAATGGTAAATACATCTTATATTTCCTGAATATGTTGGCTCCAGCCAGTAATAGTAAATGAATCCATATAGTTACATCACATACATTCTTCACTTCTTTTATATAACAAAAATGTACATCTCATTGTCATAATATATTAGTAACTAGTAGTAAGTAATTAGTCTTTTACATATCACTCTTGTATTTTCCATCTCCACTCAGACTGTGCAGTTTCAGAACTGGAGGATATCCTGGGTCAGGAGGCAAGCCAAACCACGGGTGGAGTTAAGAGTGCCGGTCAGCAGCTTCTATTGCTGCAGGATCAGGTTAGTTTTTTACCACATCAGGTCAGATCTGTCCACCCAAACACTACAAAAACCACAGAGGCATTAATCTGTCCACAGTGAGCTTTTACAGATACATGCAGCTCATTAGGTATCACTTATATTATAAATCAACAGCCCAACAGGGTACCAAAGCAGCCCCATTGTTATTCTAAACATTGATTATAGAATGTTTTAGCACAAAGTGCTGTAAATACTTGATTTTATGTAATGCATTCCTCACTTTGATAACTCTTTCATTATCATCATGGTTTTTTCAAGCTGAAGCAAGAAAAAGAAGAGAAAAAGAAAATAATTGAGAACTACACTTCAGAAAGGACCCTGAGGAAAAAATATTATAATATGGTTGAAAATATGAAAGGTATGCATGTGCGTCTGTACTGCATGTAGCGCATTTTAGTTTCGACCTAAACTAAAAAGAAAAACATGTCTCTTCAGGTAAAATTAGAGTGTTTTGTCGGATTCGCCCTGTGAGCCGAGCCGAAGCTGCGCAGGGTGGCGCCATCGTTGTGGAAAAAATAGATGAATACTCTGTCACCGTAGAAACCCCTCGTGGACCAAGGGAGTTTCAGTTTGACAAGGTGTTCAGTGCTGAAGCCTCTCAGGAAGACTTGTTTCATGACACCAGCAGGTGAGGGGCCCGGCCCTGTTTATTCAATGTGACATAACAGACACAGGGAGTCCCAGATTTGTATCATAGCAACCTCTGTGAATTTAAAAAGTAGCTTCTACTATTTTAAGGTACCAGCTCAGGCTAACCAAAGCTACAGTTACCTAACATGTGCTGCATGGAGGCACTCAAACATGGGTTAAATTGGGATTTGTGATGAGTGGGAGCTCTTATGCGTTAGACAAAATAAAATTCCTTCATTGCCAGTACACAGACGACAGCTGATGTTGCATTCGCTCATGCTGCTGTGCCACCTCTGTAGACTGTTTCGCTCAGTTTGGGATTCTGCTGCTGTGTAATGTTATGGCTGTTTAGTAGCATTGAAAGGGAGCAAATTATGTTCAAAAACAGATTTCAAGAGTTGATGGAAAAGTAGAAACAGTGAGGTAGCTCCTGAGGTAACTTGACATCAAGCCTTCCATATATTTTGATGCTTTCAGCTGAAGAAAATGTTTTTCCCACAGGCTGATCCAGTTAGCTATCGACGGTTACAACGTTTGTGTCTTTGCGTATGGCCAGACGGGCTCAGGGAAGACCTTCACTATGGTTGGGGACAAGGAACAGAAGAATCCCGGGATCATCCCGAGAGCTTTCAATGCCATGTTTGATATCATGCGCGAGAACAGCTCTAAATTCAGTTTCAAGGTAGCAGACATTATTTCACCAGCATATAAACAAACCATGTTTGGGGGAAAAAAGACATTGCTTCCCTTTGTTCCTCTCTTCCTGGTTACTGTGCTTTCTTTTAGGTTTCAGCCTATATGCTGGAGCTCTACAATGACAGGCTGCAGGACCTCTTTGCGAGCCAGGCTGGTGAGGCCCACGTACACACTCAATCCCATGGCCAGGCCAGGCGGGTGGAGATCAAGAGGAACAGAAAGGGAGTTGTGTTCGCCCAAGGAGCAGAGACAAAAGAGGCTTCCAGTGCCCAGGAGCTCTACGCTCTGTTCCAGCAGGCCTGCGCAAACCGACACATCTCTGCCACCAGTGAGCTCTCGATGCCGTGCAAAAGCCTCAAATAGGGTCCTGCTAATTGGTTTGGATTAATCGTGTTAGTTACAGTCATAGCAGTGGGGTGGCATTTAGGTACATCATTACAGATCTGGAAAGCAGCAGAAAGCAGCAGAGCAACAATATGCTGATGCTAAACCTTTCTATATATATATATATATATATATATATAGAGAGAGAGAGAGAGAGAGAGAGAGAGAGGGAGAGAGAGAATCTGAGGACTGACTATTAATCAACATCTTCTGAAGTCGCACTTCTTAAAATACCTTTAATATATAAAAATCCATCTTTCTTTGTCCTGTTGTATACTTTTCATTTTTAAAGAGATGAATGTGGAGAGTTCCCGCTCTCATCTTATTGTTGGCATCGTGGTGGAGAGCAGGAATCTGACAAATGGGAGTGTAAGCACTGGGAAGCTGAGCCTTGTAGACCTGGCAGGCAGTGAGCGAGCAGCCAAAACAGGTGCCAAGGACCACCAGCTGAAGGTCTGCTCCTATCTTGTTTCATGGGTCAGTGAGTGGTTGAAAGATTTGTCATGACTTCTTTAAATTCTTCCATGTTCTCCTCTGTGCAGGAGGCAAACTCCATTAACAAGTCTTTGAGTGCACTGGGTGATGTGATCTCAGCTTTATCTGCCGAACTGCCCCATGTGCCATACAGGAATAGCAAGCTAACACAGGTAATAAATTAAAAAGGCAGTATTAGTTTTTCAATTCTGAACTCCAACGTAGACAAGCAGTTCAACCAAAATGTGTTTCATCTCTCTCAGGTGATGCAAGACTCTTTGGGTGGAAATGCTAAAACTCTGACGATCGTCAACATCTCTCCTACAGAATACAATCTTGACGAGACGCTCACATCTCTTATGTAACAGAGAGAGAAAAAAAACAGTGTTTTATTGTGTTTTAGCACTAAAAAACGCAACAGAATAACACTTGAACTCTCTGAACTTTGCAGTTATGCAACAAGAGTGAAGGCCATAACCAACAACGCTCAGAGAAATGTGGAAAGCAAAGAGATTGCCCAGCTGAAAGAGGTGCATGCCACTTTCACAGCCAGCTATTCAAATATATACATTTCTATTTAGAATTAAACCATAAAATAATGTGAATGTATTTTTTTTCCAGGTGATCATGAAACTGAGATCTGGGCAGAGCGTGGAAGAGGAAGATGTTTGAACCGTTCTGCGTCGTAATAGTGAATAAAGTTATGAGTAAAGATTGTTAGAGATGTTCACATATTAATTTAGCCATAATTAGTTGGACAGACATCACAGTGCAGTTACTGACAGTTGCTGTGAGGATTGCGTGTGGTTTCTTAATGAATGTATACAAACGGGCCCCCACAATAAAAGGCTCCATGTGTAAATGAAGATGTGAATAGAAATCAGTAGGTCATTCAGTTTGCACGTGTTTGTGTGTGGCCAGTGAGTTCAGCGGCTGTGAATAGACATGCAATAGCACGCAATGTTACACTGTTGTTGACAAGAGTTATACCGATGAGTTTGTAAAATTAAAGCTTTAGTTCAAAGGTCAGGGGAATTGTAGGAAAGGTTAAAATCTGTTAATGTATCAAAGAAAATTTGTCCACTTGTACACAAAAATCTATATATAAAAATACGGCACTGTGACACAGATCTTATGACGAAAACAATATTTATTATTTAATATGTATCCTTAGTTAATATTTATTATTAAAATAATCTATTAAAAAATTAAAATAGGGTTAAAATGCTTGCATTCTACTTTACTTAATACATTGCCATAGCTTGGTTTTCTGTACTTAACATATCTATCTACGTAGATAAGATTGCTTTTTTGTTTTTGTGTTTTGGAGGCATCCTTCTGAGCTAGTCCTCCCCTACTCACTTCAGAGTCAGCCTCATTGCCATCATCATCACTCAGAACAGTGTGAAGGTACAGACAGAAAGCCAGTATACATTACCACACAAGCACAGGCACATTACTGTTTTCAGATTGCATGTTTTATACAAAGCCACTGTCTGCAGCTGTTTTACGTGACTCAGTTTTACTCTTTCTATAATTACTATAGAAAGAGGCTAACTGTAGGCTGTATATGCTTTAAAAAAAACAATTTCCAACATCAGCTCTACTTTTTCTTTCAAAAATAGTACAAAAGTTAACATTTTATGCATACATTATAAACAATAACCGCCTTAAACCTAGTGGTATTAGTGCTTTGAGATCATTTGAATATTTGTTAATATGTTTGCAGTTTTTATAGCACACTTTTTTTTATGTGATATTAATTTACCTCAACATGATGTATAGAGGTCAGATATTTACAATAAGATTAAGTTATTCATCTTGTAATATTCAGGTGAAACAGTTCATTAAGAGCTATCAGCTGAAGTCTGTCCTTCATAGTTTCCAAAAGAAGGCACTCATCAAATGTTCACAAACAAAAGTTTGTCAACAGCTAAAAGTGTCTATTCTATTTCTATTTACAAAACTATTAATGAAGTCATTGTGGCTTACCCTGCTGCCATACTACATCACATTTAGCTTATGAAAATAACACTGCTCATTTTCATGCTCTTTACCTCTCGTATATTTTGGGTACTGTTTCTTATCTGGGTGTGTGGTTACAGTGATGGTAAAGAGAAGGACGAGTGGTTAATTTGGGGATCAGCACTGAGAGTAGATGAGTTAGCTTACAGGGTGTGAGTTAAAGCTACATTAAGAGGAGGAGATGAATGGAGGACAAAGAGCAAAGAAGGACATGACAGAGGTGTGAAGAAGAAGGAGGGGGGTAATTCAAATGGGAATGAACCCTGCATGAATGTAGTTTGAGACCTGAAGGACTGATCAATGACACTCATCCTCATTCCTCCGTTTTAAACTGTGACCAGTCACTTAAGATATTAATGTAGCAGGCAGATGGCCTGAATGCTGTAAAATGACCTCATGTTCGCTTTGTGTATATTTATCTTTGTGTCTGTGCTTTGACCACATTTGCCAAACTGAGCACAAAATAGTAATAACTACAATTAATTTCCGCTGTGACATTCCAAAACATCCGAAAGATCATCATTTGAGTTTTCAGACAGTCTAAAATCTCTGGGAAATGGTAATCCTGTACGGACGTGGTTTCATAGTTAGACCAAAATCAGTGCTGAGATCCAGCTCCTGCCCTGGAACATTTTCAATACGTAGCCCATGAAGAAGCGTGGTAAGAAACACAAACATCTCCAAACGTGCAAATTCATCGCCAAGACAGCGTCTTTTTCCCATGCCGAAGATCTGGACCTTCTCTGTCAGCTCTTTGTTCAGGAGTCCACATGGATTCAAGAAACGCTG